CTTATAGGGTTTATACTGAGTACAATATTGTATAACTGTAATAATTCAACTGTAAACCTAAAAATTTACAGCCAAATTTGAAAGAGATGCATCCTACCTCAGGAAAACGTTATTGAATATGTCAATTGTGTTGTAATGATATGCTTCTTCTAAGTATGTTGTTATTAAATAAAAAAAAAAAAAAAGTTGAGTGTAGCATGAGGCCCTGTCTCAGAAAACAAAACAATAGCAACAACAACAACAACCGCCTCCCCCTCCCCCGCAAAAGCTCAGCATAGTGGTGCACTCTCAGGGGAGGAGGGTAGAATTCTGGCCAGCTACCAGTGTAGGTAATTCAGAAAGCCTCAGGCCAATGAGAGACCCTGATTAACAAACAAAGTAGATGGCGCCTGAGGAACAACACAATAGAGAGAGAGAGAGAGAGAGAGAGAGAGAGAGAGAGAGAGAGAGAGAGAGAGAGAGAGGTAATCTTAGGCTTGAGGAAGCTGAAGCAGGAGGATCATGAGTTTGAAGACAACCTGGACTACATCGTGAGACCCAGTTTTAATTTGGGAGAAGTCAAATTTAAACAGGTTTGCAACAACCAAAAACCTATCAATACCTTTTTTTTTTTTTTTTCTAATGTGTATGAGTGTGTTGCCTGCATGTGTGTAAATGCACCCATGTCATACAATGCCCACAGAAGTCAGAAGAGGGCATCAGATTGCCTGGAACTAGAGTTACAAACAGCTGTTAGCTGCCATGTGGCTGCCGGGATTCAAACCCAGGTCCTCTGTAGGAACAGTCAGTGCTTTTAATGACAGCCATCTCTCCAGCCCCCGCCCCCCATCAATATCTTTAAAATCTTGTTTCCTAGCCCTATCAGTCATATTTGACTGAATTTGTGTCAGGGTTGGCTTTGGTTGTCAATTTGACACATATAGGAAGAGGAAACCTCAATTGGGGAATTTCCACCCTGAGACTGGCCTGTGGCCATGTCTATGAGGCATTTTTTTGATTGTTGAGTGATGTGGGAGGGTCTAGCCCATTGTGGGTGGTGCCACTCCTAGGCAGGTGGTTCTGGGTTGTATAAGAAAGCAGGCTGAACACAGGACAGAGGCCCAAGCTCATAAGCAGTGTTCCTTCATGGTGTCTTGCTTCAGCTCTTGCCTCTAGGCTCCTGCCTTCAACTCCTGCCCTGATTTCCCTCAATGATGGAATGGGATCTGGAAGTGTAAAATGCAATAAACACTACCCTCCCCAAGTTGCTTTTTGGTCCAAGTGTTTGATCACAGCAACAGAAAGCAAAGTAGGACAATCTGAAAATGAGCCACAGTCACTAAGCTACCACACAGGATTCAATGCTGGAAACCAGAGATACGTATAGTCCTGATGCCTTGGGAACCTAAGCAGCACTTTAGAGAAAGGAAGCCTCCAGTGCTTCACTCAAACAGCACTGTCAACTTCCCAAGCTACAAAAGGAAACAGAAAAATAAAGGAAATGCTCACCTTGTATCTTCCAGTGTCACCTGACCAGATTTTTCATCCACTATAATTTTACAGTGATCTCCAGAGACCAGTTTATTGCTTGGGAAAGAGAGGTCACAACCTAAAACAGAGGACAGGAGATCACTGGACATAACTGTGGGTTCTGTGAACACTATTGTCTTGCTTTACCAGTTAGTCTGTGACCAACTGTGCATACTTACACAAACAACATTTAAATACTGAAGCATTAACCTAAAGTAAAGGGCCAGGGCCTATGCCCCCTACCTTCCAGAACCCAGTCACTTGGAAGATACCCATTACATCAACAGCTTCTTCACGACAGTTTATCACATGAACAGCTAGACAAATAAAGATTATCTGAATTGTAAAAAACAAACCTAAGGGGTTTAATTAACAAATCAATATTTTTAATCAAGTCCTCAAGTTTTTCTCTATGGAAATTTGGGTTTCATAAATCATCACAAAACTGAAGTAATGATAGGGAAAACATGATTGAGCAAATTATCATAGGGACATGTACAAGAAAATATAAAACAGAAGTGGAGGGGCTGGAGAGATGGCTCAGTGGTTAAGAACACTGGTTGTTCTTGCAGAAGACCCGGGTTCAAATCCCAGCACCCACATGGCAGCTAACAACAGTCCGTAACTCCAGTTCCAGGGGCTCTGACAGCCTCTTCTGTCTTCCGTGGGCAGTGCATGACACGGGTGCACTTACCTACACATAGGCAATATACACATAAACATAAATTAAATATAATATTTTTTTAAAAAAAAAACAGAAGTAGAATGCATCCAGAACTGAAGACAGTGTCTTGAAGGCCCACAATGGTCTTGAAGTGGTGGTTGTAGTAATGGAAGAGCCCAGGTCCTGGCTTCTATTATTAGCCTCCTGCTAAGATTCTGCATGGTGACATTTCACTGAGGCAGTAGCTTAATAGACCCAGCCAAAGTTCCTCTATAACCTTCCTACCACTACCATAAAAAGGTAGAAGACGCAGACATGTTGTAGCCCAGCTAAGCCAGTGACACTGGCTTGAGGAGATGCAGACAGCAGGAGTCAGAAGATATTAAGATACCAGGTCTCACTGGGCGTAGTGGTGCACGCCTTTAATCCCGGCACTCCGGGGGCAGAGGCAGGTGGATCTCTGTGACTTCAAAGCCAGCCTGGTCTACATAGTGAGTTCCAGGACGGCTGGGGCTACAGGGAGACCCTATTTCAAAAAAGACCAAAAAAAAAAAAAAACCCAAAACAACCAATAAGAGGGAGGG